AATGTGGCCGACTGCCACTTGAAGGCAGCCATCAATGGGCCACAATGTGTTTTCTTTTTGGTTTTGGGGCATAAACAATCCTCTGGGCTCTTTGGAGCGGACCAGCTCTTCAATCATCTTTTTTTAAAAGCCTTTTTCTTCACTTCACTCTCTTGCCAAGTTGATTTGTGCTATACGATGAGTGATATTTTTAAATCAGACAATGCTTATCCCGCGGATAAAGGCTATATTTAGAACTGCACTATCGTTGACCTACAAACAAAAGGAAATTCTCTCTACGATTGTGTGTGGGGTGTGCTGTGTGTGTGGGGAATGTCTTTCCTTTCTAGCCTGCCTAATGAGCTCATGATTTCATAGGCAAATTTCCCTCTTTCACTCTTGAGTGCCCCTATCTTTCTTCAACGAACTGAAGAATGAATTTCAATTCAAGCAAAGTGACGATTCGTTTAGCAGCGACATCTCTGAATGAGAGAATTAGTTTCATTAAGAACAATCACTAGGCATTCGCCGACTCGCTGACTGATGGTTGCCAAAATTTACTGGTGGGATACCCTGAAAAATCGCTAATAATAGGGCTCCGACTCCTGCTCTGGGGCTTGAACCCATCATCGTCTTTGCGGTGGTGCAGTAAAATTAATTTATGTTCTACTGCACTTTCAGCACCTTGCGCTGCATCCCATACCCCATACCCATTTTGCATTCACCACTCGGTGGGCATTTTAAAAATGATTTTTGGGTTAGAAGCTCCCCTGGAAGGAGGCTGGGGGTACGACCAAATATAATAACAATCATTATGATTAAACGTAGCTATTTGAAAAGTCGTGTTCCAAGTTAATGAAAATGTAATTGAGCAACGAATGCCGCGCGCGTTTTTCCTGCACTGTGGCTGTGGCTCTGTCTCTCTGGCTGTGGCTCTGGGTCTGGGTCTGGGTCTTGGCCGCTGTCCTGGGGTCTCCATCTCCCTTTCTGGGTAGTGCCTGCCTGGTGTCTGGCGTTGCTGCAAAACAGCATGGCGGATCGAGGCAAGATCGAGAGCAGGAGCTGCTGCCAGCATAGACGAGTAGCGGGGACAGTGCAACAACAGCAGGTCCACCAAGCAGACACCAACACCCCAGACCCAGACCCAGACCCAGACCCAAGTCCCCGTCCAGGCTGAGGCAGAGGCTGAGGCTGAGGCTGGGGCTGAAACATTCTCTGTGGTTGGGTTGCCTTGCAGCAGCCGTCGCGTATCTTGTATCTGGCATTCAACTCGTTTGCAAACTATTAATTTTGTGTAACATCCTGGCATCTGCAGAGCCACAGCCACAGCCGCAGCCAGAGCCCAGAGAGCCTTCGGGTTGAACGGCACGACAGAGAGCAGCAGACCAAAAACCAAAGCCTGATCCGAAAGGTATTTGTAATTTAGATTTCGAAAATAGACTGGATTTTATAATGGTTTATGTATTAGATATTTGTTTTAGGGGGGGTTTCATTTAAGCACAACTTTCCTGAAGAGTTTTTCTCTACGTGCTGGAAGATAGATTGGCTTCTGTTTCATTAATCATTATATGTTCTGCATTTAGCCTAATTTCCCCTTGATCGAAGAGGCGTTTGAAGCCCATTCCAATGCCTTGCGAAATTGCCAAATAAATGCTGTATTAAAATTAAATAAATAAATAGCCCACTAATTGGGGTGCGGCCTGCATTCGCTGCAAAAATTCAACAAATTGTCAACAAATTTTGTGGTTTATGCGGGAATGCCACACAGAAGAGGATGGGTCTAATAAGCATTTGACATTTTCGTAAGTGATGTCTGCCAGTCATCAGGTTGTATCTACATATATATCTATCTATCTATCGTATATTTGTATCTGCTTTGGTGCATCTTTTGATGATCTGCTTGGAGCAGTGCCAGCTTTGGTCTTGTCAATTAGAGAATGCCTTTTCGAATGCCAAACAAACTTCACAAGACTGCATGCGATATTAACTAAACATGGATCTATATATACCATGTATGCTCGTACCCCCAGCACTATGTACAGTGTACACCCATAAGTATTGGCCGAGCATTTAGCCAGAAGCTGTGTTTTTTTTTTGTCTTGGGAGAAAAGTGTTTCGCAGAATTCTGGTTCTCGTTTTTTGTGTTCCTGTCGATATCTCTCTGAAAGATGGCGTTTTGGGGCATGGGGGTTTTTTCTTCTTACACATTTTAAAATGGTTGCCACAGTAACAACTTGACGTGATTATATGCAATCAGCGTCGTGCCCCCGTCCCATCGCTGGCCGCTTCTTCCCGCTTCCCTGAGCAACATGCACTTCAAATTTGCATAATTGTTAACATGATGTTGTAGCCTCTGCCTCTCTACTGTTGCTGTTATTTTTACTGGACTTTAATCAGCGAATGTTCGGGCCAGGCCCCACCCTTTGCCTTTTGCCGCTGCCATACCCCAGATTGCCCTTTATTATTGGTATTAGAGCTGCTTGGCACCTGCAACAACGTGTTTTTTTCTTCTTATTTTTAATAGCGATTCTTAGTTTGGCAGCAGCAATTATAACTCGAAATCCAACACATGCCACCACAGGCACTTCTAATAAAGACATTTGCTGACGAAACGAAAATTGAGTTGTGTGGCAGGTACGATAAAAAGTGGCAAAGCCTAATTGCCACAAACACACAAGGCTATTGACTCCTCCGGGTAGGAGGTGCGGCCACCATTAGGGGCAAAAGTCCACAAACAAGAACGAAGCCCAACCCCAAAGCCCAAGTATATCAATGTATCTCTAAGTAAGAGACTGTTGGCTGACACACACTCGCAACTAATTGGCAGTATCTCAGATGGGTTATAGTTATATGTATCTTAAAGATTCATGTACAAAATGTAGCTATAGATGGCTGCTTTTCATATTACCCTCAACAGAATATGATTAAGAAAGTAATTAAATCTCGTCGATGCATGAAAACTCAAGGGAAAACGGAACCAGAAAAAAGGCCAGCGCCAGACAGAGAGATGCAAAAAGAGCAGATGAAAAGATACATTTGAGAGAAGATCGCTGAGGAGATCTGCCTGCCTTCCTCATTTCATTCATTCATTCATTCGTTCCCTCCAGAAGTTCATGTTCTTCATTAGCCCTCCTTTTTGCTCAGCCATCAATTTGTACTGTGTGCCTCTCCACTTGCTGCAATTTGCATAACAGATACAGATACAGATACAGACACTCTGTGCTGTTGTTGCCTCTGCTGCCATGAGTTACAGATACATAAATAATAACAATGTGCCCCATTGATTGGAACCGCACATGAAACGAGTTTTCCACACACACAAATCGAAATGGAAAATCAGCCAAAGTTTACTTCAGTTGTTAATCAATATGTATCTGTATCTGTATCTGTGACTGGTTGTTGCTGACTGACTGACTGACTGACTGTCGATTTATAAGTGCAGTGCAGTTCATGTGGCATTTCAACGTCTCTTTAATTGGCTGACATGTTGTGATTTTGGCTTGTCAAGAGCTGGAGCCCGTCCCTGGGGCGCAATATGGCCAATGGAAAATTGCAATTTTCCAAAGCAGGCAATTATCGATGGTTTGAAGGAGGAAAAAGCCCACACATTTGGACGGATACTTGAGCAGGGAAATCACCTACTTTTATAAGAAATTGTTGAAGGAACTTTTCCTTTTTGCATGCTCATATTTTTGTGGCTTTTTGGGTTCTCCTTCGCCCGACGCAACATTTGATAGATGATAGGCTTGGGCCTTCCCAAAGAATAGTTCCCAGAAGCCAGAGTAAAATGATTAATATAAATAAATATGACTGCACAGAAAAATTTAATTATTTTTAGTTGTCGCTGAAATAATAAACGAGCTGCAAGCAAAATTCCACTCTGCTAGATCCAAGCAAATGTCAAACAATTTGCAATCCAATTAATCTCGTGGATACCCCTCCTGCAGTACCTGCCACAAAGATCGAGCCCCCTCCTGTAGCACCTGCCCCAAAACGATGAAGAATCTTCTGCTGCGGTCAATAATTTGATTATGCCTGGGACCCCAATTGCGGCTCCGTTCGTGTTGTGAGAGGCTCTCCATCAATGGGTCATGAGAGGTGGCCAAAAAGGGAATCAATTTGACGATGAGGAATAGCGCTAGGCGTCGGAGGTAACCGACAGGCAGCTGTGGCACATGGAGAAAAATCGGTATGGGCTCCATTGATACGATGAAAAATCGCTCAACAATTTTTCCGTTCACAAATTTTCCAGCCCAAAAAATTTCCAATGAACATTTTTTGTTCGTTAAATTTAAATATAAACCGAGTGGAGTGCTGAGATTTATATCAGGTCTACACTATCTGTCTCTGTATCTGTATCTGCAGATGTATCTGTATCTGTATCTGTATCTGGATCTGTGTGTGTCGGTTTTATGAGTTATTGTGGGAGTCAGTCCCAGTCTTAGCTGCGGGTAGCCCGGGCCTGTTCTACGATGGATCGCCTCCCCCATTTGTTTACAATTTTCACGCGCTACGATTTTCGCGGTCGAGTTTTTCACGCAGCGCTCCCACCACCTCCAGCTCTCCATCTGAAGAGGCGGATTGTGGGAGAGAGAGTGTAAGTGTGAGGGAATGCGTTGCTGCCGAGAGTATTGTTTATGTATTTTGACAAGATGCCCCGCGCGCACAGTTTGCCAGACAATTTGGTGGCAAGCAGCATGCCGGTAGCCACGATTGTTATGTTCCTCACTTGCAACATTTCGGCTGGCAAATGAGTGAGGCAGAGGCACATCGAAATCCGTAATGAATGGGTTTTGATGGGGCAGCGATTGAGCTCAAAATGAAATGGCATTCAATGGGTTGTCAGTGGGTGGGTAATAATCCTCAAGCGATGATTCAGCTTCAGATTCATACATTTTTCCAGAGAAATATACTCGTGTATAATTTAATGAATCCACTAATTAATAATCAATGATCTTGCTACCCTTCCTTTGCCCCGATTCCCTCTTTCAATACGTATGTAAATCCAATTCAATACTCACTCTGTCCGAGATGCACTCTCTTCATCCATGGATAGATCTGTGGCGGATTCTTCTTTCCATTGCCGCTGTTCTGGCTGCTGCCCGCCTCGTTGCCGCTGTCGCTCTCCGAATCGGAGTCGCCGCCGCCAGGACTGTGCATCGGGACATTGACCACGCCCGGGACACCACCCACGCCCACACCACTGCCACCGCCGCCCACTGGGCCGACCCCAGCACCGCTGTGGTTGTTGTTGAGACTGACGGCAGCGGCAGCGGCCGCTAGGCTGCCACCCAGCACCCCCTTGTTGAGGGATCGTGCCACACTCTCCACCACGGAGCTGGGCGAGAGCTTCGGGGAGATGTCGCGCGTGGAGAGGTCCTGCGGGCTGGCCAATGATTGGTTGTTGTTGTTGTTGCTGCTGTTATTGTTGTTGTTGCTGCCACCACCCCCTCCGCCGCCACCACTGCCGCCCGGTGTGGTTGGATCATTGGCGTACTTGCAGCTGATGTTCGTCTGCTGCTGCTGCTGTTGCTGCTGTTGCGGGAGTTGCTGCTGCGCGAGTTGTTGCTGCTGCTGTGCCGCCACTGCCGCCGCGGCATGGGCATGTTGCTGCTGCTGCTGTTGTTGTTGCTGCTGCTGCTGCTGTTGCAACAACAGACGCTGCGGCTGCAGCTGTGTGTAGTCCACCATATCCGGATTGCCCTGTCCGCCGTATGCCGCCGCCTGGTTGGCGTAGTGCGCCTGCGGCGTGTTCGGATACAGGTTGGGCGTGTACGCTGCCGCCGCTGGAAAATAGTCGTTGGCTCCGGGCGTGGCTGCCCCAGAATTCCCGGGCCCACCGTTGGTGCCCCCACCGCCTGGCACGGCGGCACCGTTGCTGCTGCCCGCACTGGCATTGGCGCCCGGATGACTCTGCTGGGGATTCATCTGCTGGGGATAGCAGGAGGCCAGCGAGTTGACAAACTGGTACGAGGACATGGCAAAGCAATCGGGATCCATTCTGTAGCCAGTCTTTGTGTCGCTCGGTCGTCTAGGAATCGATTAGTATCTGCAAGAGAGAGAGAGGGAGAGAAGAGTGGTAATCCCATTAGTTATGGATGCAGGAAGATGTGTGCGGTAGGTGTTGGATAAGAACCTCTGCCTTTTTTAAGTATAAGATCTCATTTGGTGATGGGTAATGCATAATATTTGCATAATCAAGAAGAAAGATTAGTGAAAGATCCTTCCCGAGAAGTTTGCCCATTCCAAAGATCATGTAGATCCTTCCTCTTCCGTTCCCTACAGGTATCCCAATCAAATGGCATTCAAACCACTGTGCCCTGGCCTCGTCCCTGGAGTCCGTTGATTGGTTCCTCCCCCAAAGTGTTGTGCGGCCGTTAATAATTTCACTGGCTTTCGTTTGGCTTCTACTTGGTTATTATTATTATTATTATAACTTTTAGAACGGTAAAGAATCGGGTTTCACGTCCCAGAGAGAGAGAGAGAGAGAGAGTTCACTGCCTAAGCATGCAATTTAACCAAGAACCAAGGCACAGGCACCGCACTGCATCGGAGTGGAGTGGAGTGGATATATATTTATATATATACAACAAGTATTGGGAGTTTGGGTTTTGTGGAATGCCTGGACCGCCCACTCCTCTGGACACACTTTGCGGCACAAAAAACTTTTGCTGGAGCTGCACTTGTCCGGGGCCCAGGCCAGGCATCGCCCCAACCATCGCACAGAACCAGTGCCAGTGCCAGTGCCAGTGTTTGTTCAATGGAGGAAAAACTTGTATTCCTTTTGGAGTCGAGTCGCTGGAGATAGCAAACAAAAGCAATGACCGAGGCACAACCTCTCTGCCTCTCTGCCACTTCTGCTGTTCCCTTCTACTTCTGCTGCAGGAGGAGGAAGCCATAGCCATCCAGGCTGAAAATCGCCTGAAAGCCGAAAAAGTGCAAAACGCAATGGCAAAAGAGGCCAAGCCAAGCGAGGCCGATGCACATGAACATGGCCAAAATAAGATAGAGAGAGAGCAGAACTTTGGCCAAAAACAATGCAACGAACTCTGCCACTTCCATGCCCCGCTGTATCCCTGTATCCCTTTTTTTGTGTGCCTTGAAACCAATAATTTTGATTCAGTGGGCAATTTAACCCTTTAGCATGTTGGCCAAATGAAAGGAGCCCAATGTTGGGCTTAAATTAAAACGCCGTACGAGAGGTCTCAGTCCCCCCCCTCCACTACCCCTCTCAAGATAAAAACTGAAATGGCCAAGAAGACACGAGCAGCACAGCACTGGGCAAATGCTCAGGCACTGGACAGAGATTTATTTGATGAGCAGCAGCGTTCTACAAAACAGAACAGAACGTGGCCAAGGAAATACTTGTACTTATTGTAAGCTGCTAGCCTTCAGCAGGGTATCTCCCTCCCACTTCCAGTCCCACTCCACTCCCCCCTCCCCCGCCCATACGATTACAGACTTTAACGGTGGTTACCCCTTAAAGAAAACCCTCGCCGATTCGATTTGGCAATATGAGAATTATAGTTGTAGGTACAAGCGCCAATGTTTAGGCCCGAACACAAGGCCGAAAATCAACGAAGAAAATTATAGGATCAACATTTGACTCCGACTTTGAACGTTGAACCTTTGACTGGCAGATATTTGTACAATCCGTACGGACGGGGTCGGATCGATTTGGTGGCAAATGGGAATGGAAGCGATGAAAATTGATTAAGTGGAGAGATCCCAAAAGATTCACAGTAATCAATCGATGAACGAATGATGGCAGATAGTTAACGTAGCTGAGAGATCTTTAAGTGGAGGTTAAATTGATATCTGAAGATTGTATAACTCTCTGCTCCGCTCTGCTCTGCTCTGCTCTGCCCATTCCTCAGCATTTTTCAGTCGGAAAACAAACGTAAGGCGGCTGCTTCCGTTGATTTTTCTGATCACTTAAGGGCAAATTAAAAATTCAGTAAAATTCGGAGACGGGGCTCATAAATTATACCACGAATTTTTCGAAAATTGTTTTCCAAATAGTTGAGGCGACAAGCGGTTCAATTGGTGTTAATTAAATCCATGAATAATAAAAACGCAAAGCGAATTTGCGGGCACCCGAAAAGAGCCAAAGATACACAGAGGGAGAGACACACAGATACAGATACATCTCTTGCAGTGAGAGACGGGGGGCAGAGGGACTGCCGCCAGACATTGTCTTAGATTGGCGATCGTCGGTCCATGTCATAAGAAAGCCATAAATTATGGCAATTCTTTCGGGGCCCCGGCGACATTTTGGTTTCGAGACGAGGGAGCGAACAAGCCCGGTTTTTCCTTTTGTCCCGAACCAGGGTTCCATCCATCCATCCATCCACTCCTCTATTGTATAAACAATTTTTAATATGCCTTCAAATGGGGAGTGAAATTTCTTTTTTTTTCTCGATACTTAAACCGCAGAACGAATTTCCTTTCCCCGGTCCGGTCCCCGGTGGCGGTCGCAGCATTTTCCGTTTCACATTGCTGCCGCAGGTAAGAGAGCGGACGGATCTCGAAAGGAAAGTGAGGCAAGGTAATACTCGTATAAAATAAACAGCAATTGAGTTGCACATGCGTCTGTTTGGTCCGCCGTGAGCGCAATAAATCAATTTGGGGGCAACTTCGAAGGCGACAGCTGAAAAGGGTTTTTCATGAAAAATACCGCAAGACATTGACAGGGTTCTCGTTTCAGAGAGAGAGGTCGAGGAGTGTTTGACTTTTGTACGTTTCAGGGGGGTTGAGGCTGAGGCTGGGCATATGCGTAATTAAGATGATTAACTTTTGCATAATCGATAATTAAAGCGGTTTTTTTTAAGGGGTTTGTTGGGATTTGTATATAGGATTGGTGGTACCCTGTCCATATGTATCTTTCTCCCTGCTGTAGATGGTTTTGCATATATATCTCCCTCTGTATTATTCTAGGTCTAGTTTGGGTATGTTATGGAAGGAAATGCATAGATTTGGGGTTACTAAAGAAGGCTATAATAAATGCAGCTTTGATATCTTCAATGTACTGTATAGGGTACTATTTCCTACAAAATACACATACACACAAATATACATTTATAAAAGTATATCTCTACCTGAAAATGGAATAGAGTTGACTATTAAAGGGAAAATACAATAAAGACACAGAAAATAAACCATTCATTAAAATTAATTGTCTAAATATACCTGTGGAACTCACTGCACCAAATCTAACCTGTTTTTTCGTTTATAAACAACTATTCTTCGTCAAAGACTAGTCAAAACTATCATAAGTTTTATATTCCAAACTAGCCCCCAGTCCAGGTCCAGTGCTGCTTAGGAACCCAACCACCTAATGACAAAACTGTCATCCATTTCTAACCACTCCATCATCATCACGTATGTCATCGGCTCAGGAGAGTCCGCCGCCACCATCTTAATTATGAAATGAAGTGAGGAAAACCACCCAAAGCAGTTATTTCTTTTACAAATGTCGCCTAGGCCGTCGCCGCCGCTGTCGTCACCATTACAGATATTTTTTGTATGTAAACAGGGAACCAGGGAACCAGGGAACCATGGACCAGGGAACCCTCCTGCACCCATCATAAATCATAATTTTTAATATTTTGTTGTCAACCGACATGGGCGTAGCTCGTGTACATGTAAACATGCGCCGCATCTAAAACTAGGGTCTTCTCAGTCACAGGCCAGCCCACGGTACGCACAGATCGTTGGAATAAAAAACACAGAAGAGAACTCTACACAAACGGAACAAAAAGATGAATAAAGGTATTTGCGCACGCGCAGTCACACTCATTGGGCTGGCTGCTGGCTGTCTCTTTTGCACTTCCCAAACTGAACCATAACTGAACCAGATGTTAGACAGAGACAGAGAGAGAGAGAGAGACTGTGTCTGTGGACCCATTAAAAACTCATAAAAATTTGTAAGCACCTCATAAAAATAGTCATAAATATTATTCCTCCTCATCTTTTTTGTCTTTTTTTTTGTTTTTGTTTTTGAAGTGGGCCTCTCATGCTGTCTCTTTCTGTTGTGGCAACCCTCGTCACAGTTTTCAGTTCTGCGGTTTGTTTGTTTGTCTGTCGCTCCTCATAATTTTTATGAGTGTTCTTTCAATTGTTTTCCAAACTCAAAGCCAATCATCCGACGATCCTCACACTGCAAGCGGCCATTTCTGCGATAATTTATGGTGTGTTATGTAATGGTTGTTGGTCAGAGATATATGTATTATCAGAGTGGTCGTTATCCTGGACCTGGTCAAGGACAACTCAATTGTGTAATATTTTATGGTTTTTGGCTACTGTTTTTAGGGGCAGATTATTGTCGTTTAAGTGTAGTTGGGTTCAGATTCTGACAGCGGGGAGTAATTAATGGAGTGTGGACAGCGAAGAGACCTCAAGGATAACTATTTCAGAAGTCTTGATCGATGTAGTAGATGTTTCAATTGATTGACTTAAAGATCCCGAAAAGGTATTCCTGAACCATGAAGTTCTTCAGGAATATTCTTTAATCAAAGCTTGCATGCAAGGACAACCCTCAAGGGTCTACTTCTTTCTTGACTTTTGCTCCTTTCAACAACCTTCAAAGTGTCCCAGCACTTATTGTACACATTCTGTTTCTGGCATCTCCCCTTCAAAATACTTAGATCAACGACTCTTTGCAGCTCTGAGAAGTTTGCGTGTTTGCGATTTTGATTTATAAATATGAATAAGTCACGATGAAATATCATCGGGACAGAGGCAGAGGGATACGATGGACTCGTATGATGAATGTCTCCTCCAGGCGCAGGCCAAACGCGGAACAGAATGATAATGGGCATAAATAACGAGTGCCACAATGCAGAAGACACTCGAACTTTGGACATACCAGTCGGCCTCCTCCTCATATGGCCAATTAGCCTGATGGAAAACTGGGAGTGGGACAGAGAGAATGGGTCCGGGTCTGGGTCTGGGTCTGGTTATGGGACTGCAAACTGTCTCTCTGTTGTGCCCACATTATGCAATCGTGGCAGCCACTCTTTGATCTTGGCCCACCCCTGGCGACGGGTGAGGGCGAGGGCTAGGCAAATGAAAGTGACCTACATCAAGTGGAATTTCTTCCATTCAGTCCACATATGTATCCCCGGCATACACTCTCTCGAGTGCCCATGCAGGGACTCCTCTGTCTAGGGAACAGGAGCAGTCGGTCGGTCATTGGTGCAGCTACTCGGTATCTGGTATCTCGGTTCCAGGCCAGTGCGTCGTCTGGACGTCTTTAATATAATTTCGGTTTCGCTGCTTCGCAGTCGGTCGCCCCATGGAGTCTTGGCCAGCATGACTCCGCTGTCCCGGGGACAGGGGCCCAGACCTATGTCTTGGTTGCTTCATCCCTACACACATACAATATACAATCTGTATGTATTACGAGGGGTACGTTTGTATATAGGGATGAGTACATAGGGTTATATGGTCAGATTAGCCTCTCTCTATATTCGCTGCTTGTTAGGCATTTTTCATTCGCTGTGACATTTCGCCTTTGTGCCTCTTAATTATTTCGAAAGCGGCTGCATTTCGTTTTAATGAAGTGAAAATTCTTGGCGCTGATACCGCACACGCAACCCAATGAAAAATTACTAAACACACAACGAAAGACCAGAAACCAAACCCGAAAATAAAAGGGAATAAGTAGCAGGAAAATGTAGGCGAGAGACCAAATGGAAATTTTGTGGGGCTTGGTTTTTGAGACAATGATATTTATTGATTTAGAAAAAAGAGGACAAAAATACAGAAAAAGCTACTGAAATTTGGATTTAAGAAAGAGGAAAATTGTCCATAAAGTGCGCAAGAAATATGTGGAAAAATAAATTACTTGTATCCGAATAAAATAAAAGAATACATACAAATCAAAAACAAATTCAAATGCGGAGTAAACGTAGCTTTAATTTGATCTCAGAGTTTCAAATGGTTTATGTATCTTCAAAAATAAATCGATGAAACGGTGCAACTGATTAACACAACAAAAAAATTGCACAAATAAAAAAAAACCTTAATTAAAACAAATGAAAAGATCCTTTTCTAAAGTAAACAAACGTTTAAAATGGGATGAAATGCCTCTAATGAATACATTCATTGTATCCCCCCTTTAACTCGCTCTACTCACAATTTCAGTTAGCCGTCGGCGTTCGGCATTCACCAGATAGCAAGTGAATTCTTCGAATATTCACTTCACTCGATCACTGAATCACTGAATACACTTTGTATTTGTATTGAGAGTTGTTTTCATTCGACTGCGGATCGTCTAATGACCTCAGAGCACTGGAGGATGGATTAAAGGAAGAGTTTTGGTCTGGGATTCGCAAGAGTTAATCCGTTTGCATCCTGCTGGCAAATGGGTTTACGAGTGTCCCTTAGCTTTACCTGCACTTGTCACAGGAATGTTTTGGATGGCTTTTAGCCGTAATTGGCCGCAGATTTGAACGGTTTTTATTGCACACACCACACACACAATACACGCGGAGACAATTTGTCACAGACGCCGGCCGGGGCAGATGAGGCCCATTAGAAGAGGCGAACGCGATAAGTATCTGCGAGATGGCTAAAGTATCTGCGAGAATTTCACGCCGAATTTATGATTATCCATCAGCGCGAATGCGAATGCCTCTCAGACGTCATCGATGAGCGCACTGACACTGAAAACACTCTGCTGCCCATCCATCATGTATCTAAGTGTATCTTTGTATCGTTGTATCTTTTGTGTGTGCAAGTACAAGTTTCTGTGCAGCTTTGTATCCAAGTGGACATCGGTGTGTCGGATTGTATTAAAGGTTGTTCCGTGTGTTCGATATTCCGGTGCTCGATGTATCCGCGGCTACGTGCTCGAAGCGTCTCACTTCGAATGCTCGGGCATCATTCAAATATCCGAGCATCAATAAAAAACACTCACACACTCATTCACTCGCTCGCTCACGCGCAGCCCCCCATCCCCTCCCCCCACCCAATGTCGACCCATCCAATTGTATCTGCGAGTACGAGCAAGTAGGGCTATAGCCACATCCAAGTGCATTCATCAAGCACTCACTCGCGTAAAAAAAGAAGAGCCAAACACACGAAATTCGAACACAAGTGAGTGCGAGCGAGCAGGCAACACTGTGTGTGTCACTTGCCATCTCCCTTGCACCTTCTGCGTGCATGCATGCCGCGCTCTACCTTTGCGGACGCGGAGAACATTTTCGTATCAACCGCCAAACCAGAAATTCGTAGCCGCAAAGGCTGTGTGCGTGCTTGTGTGTGTGCCTGTCTGTGAGTTCGAAAGAGCGGGAGTTCGAATAATGGATTCTCTCCGCATTTCGGTCAAAGTTCTTATTGCTCTCACGGACACTGTCCGTGTGCATTTCAGTCTCACGTACATGAGAGATCGTCAGGCGGGAGTTCGAAAAATTTCTTCACTCGGAATTCTTATTACGCTCTCACGTACACTGTCCGTGTGAGATCGATTCCTTAAAACCTTTAACAAAAACATTCGAAATTCGATGTTTGGGATATCTCTGAGCGCATTGCCGTAAGCTGAGTTTTGGCTAAGAATTTAGGGGGGCCGAAGAACGACGGGGTAAAAAACCAACTATTTGACGACGGTGTAAAAAACAAACTATTTGGATGTGCTCTAAGCTGAAAACAAGCGATTTTAATCTTTAAAAACACAGCGATTTAAAATATAAAATACTCCACATTAAAGTAAATTCTGAGCTTATTTTTCAATGACTTCAGATATCAACACCAAACTTATGTGTACAGAGAATGCTGCTACACACCTTACACCTCCTACACCTGCGGTTTCAACATTTTTTTCTGCCAAATGTAAGATTTCTAGAATATAAGAATGAAGGCAATAAATGCTGCGATTTTTTGACAGTTGAGCTTTTATGAAAAACTTCTAGTAGGTGGAAAATTATAACAAACTGTTGCAGATGTTCCTCGCAGTTTTGATAGGACTATTTGTTAATTTTGAGGAAGAATTTCCGATGATTTTGACTCTGAGATACTGATGATAGTATAAGGATTGTTACCACATTCCTGTCAGAGCTTACAGTTTGTTTAAACTGTCTTTGGCATTACTAAAAACGTTTGTACTTGTGGCATATCCCATATTCCAGTTTATATTTTCTTACCTATAAATGGACGAATTTGAAATCCAATCGCAGGTTACCTATCTGCTTTGAAGAATCCGTTTTATATCTGCCTTCACACTTCACTAGATATTTCTTAATATTTTCATATAAATTGTATTTGCTTTTAGCACCGCACCGCACTTTTAATCCAAATTATTTTGAGTTGCTTGGGGGATTGTTTTCACTTTAGAATTTTTGGTAGAACTGGGACATCTTTTAATGGGGAGAGCTGGCTCCCTTTTAGAGGAACTATCTTGTAGATTTATCCGCTATAAGCTTATCGAGGGGACCATGACCATTGCACCTTGGTTCCGATTTGCCGACGCCTAAAAGCCGTCCTTTCCATGGGATACAAGACTCCAAGTTTCGTGAGAGGGAGACTCGATTCGACTCGCGTTGGGGCAAAACTTTCGCGTGTTGCACGATTTTTGTGGCAAGTTGAGGACCGAGCGCGCGGCTTGGCGACTGGAGCGTTCTTGGCCACGTTCGATACACGTTTGAGTCGTCGGACCATTCATCGGTCCACCAGTCCACGTTCGAGTCGATTCCACAGTACGTACTCTGCGCGTGTGTGTGTGCGTGTATTTCGAACACTGTAAATCATCTGCTTGGCAGGCCATGAGTGCGAGCAGGAAGCCCTCTGTGTGCGCATGTTCGAAAAGCAGGGTGTCCCGCTCTGGCCCGAAACTGACTCCGCCCCGTGCCTTGATTTATGGACAGAGGGTGCCAAGGCAACCGGCCTATGGCGCTGCAGAGCTGGCTCTCCGTCTGTCTCCCCCGTGGAAATGGAAAAGCCAAAGAAAACAAAAGAAGAGGAAAAAACAGGTAGTTGGCTCCAGCGCTGGCCAGCTCTCTTTTGTTCTTTCTGCTCCAGATTAGGCCGAAATCATCCTAGATTAGGATGCGATGCGATGCGTCTACCCAGGCGGGTCTCTCCCCAACCCAGCCCCAACTCCCTGCCCCTGAAGCCCACTCCCCCCTCCCCACTTTCCGACTTTATTTGTATTCAATCGTGGCGCTGTTCCCCTAAATCACCGTCACATTATTATTTCGCATTATTATTTTATAAACGTTTCGCCGCCGTTCCACGTTCATTTCCATTTTTATTGGCTGCCTTCGAAACTTTACACAAAATCTGTTCGCTGCTCCTCCTCCTCCTCCTGCTCCCAACCCCCCCTCCTGCAGAATTGGGTATTTTGTGACTCCCTTTAAAACGAGCTCGTTTGCAGTTGTCTCTGGATTTAAATTTATTGGCTCCGGTTTCGGTTTCTGTTCGCTGTTCTCCACCGTCTTCTGTCTTCTGTCTTCTGTCTCTGGGTTCACTTTGGGGCTCACAAGTTCCAGAGCCCAAGTTCAAGTTCTGATGATTCATTCTGATTTTGGGTTAACGATTTTGATTTGTTTGGCTAAATGCCTTAATTAAAAATCAATTTCATATTTGCTACCAACATTTTTGTCACTGCTGAACAAATGTCTATTGATTTTCGTTGACATTTGAATTTGAATGAACTTGTTAAAGGCTTTGATTGGAAATGAATACCTCTAGATATTGAATACAAAGACACACCCCAAAATTTGGTTTAAATTTTCAATGGGGTTTCAATTAGGGGATTTTTGAGGTTGTTTAGACTTGATTTAGATATGGAAATAGCTTTAAAAATATCCCATCTTTCTAATAGGTAATCTTTCAAATAACCAGCATTTACATACTTATAAGAAAATTGTCATCAACCCGATATTTACTCTTCCGCTTTGCATCCCACTTTTCCAGATGTTTTTCCCCCTGCACATACACACACATGCATATGTAGAACAGCCTCTCCACTCTTATAAAAATATGTAAAAAAGATATGGTATATGGTATGGGTAAAAATGAGAAACTAAAAAAAGAAATCATAAGAGAGACGCCTGCGTGTACTTCTGTAATTGGAGTTGATGTTGGCGATGCCAGCGGGCAGTCAGAGTCAGACTTTGGGACGGACTCACTCCTATGCCATACCATTCCGGACCCATCGAGGGTCGGTCCCGGTCCCGGTCCCCTCTCTCCGTCTCTCTGTGCAGCAGCAGCATCCAACATGTTGCAGGCGATTTTTCATCATCGTTGCATGTTGTTCCTCCGCTGCTGTTGCGCCACACACTCGCCTCGCACAGTTTTTAATATGAAACAATCAGCAGCATTTGTAGTTTGTTTTTACTAAAAATTTTATAGGAATTTTCAAATTAAATGTGGGCATAGCATAGGAACTATCGTTGCAGCAACAGCAGGAGCAGCAACGGAACTGCCACTGCAACAGTTTCCAATTAAACGATCCAAGAAAAATGGCCCCCAACCCGAGTCCCACTCCTGGTCCCACTCCCGGTCCCGGTCTCGACTCACGACAATTCGTTAATACCTTGCCATTTGAGTTCTTCACGCATCCGTAATGGAAATGGGGGAATGCTATGGGATGGAGGATGAAATGAAAGATGGGAGACTCCAGTCTGGAGTTTCAGATGGGTATACCATGTCTACGAGTAGTTGATAAATACCCCCCATTTAGGGACAACACACACAAGTCGGAGTTAGTTGGGATAGTAAGCGATATTTGGAGCAGGAACAGCCAACAGAACCGAACTGCTGCTGCACTTGGCGATGCATTGAGAGATGCACTTCCATTAAAAGCCAATTTAAATTAATTTCCATTCCCTGCTTTTTGGCAGCTACCAGTTTTCCGTCTTTTCCTCAACCTTCTCTGCCCTGAAGGAGACTCTGGTCTCCCTCTCCTCTGTGTCTCCTTCTATGTCAGTGCCAGTGTCAGTGTCAGTCCATTCACATTTGATTATGACAAACGTGGCTCAGCTGTCAGGCAATGAGCTACTTAGTGCAAACAAGATGGCTGCCAGAGTGGCCAAGAGAGGGAGCGACAACAGCTCTAAGACCGGGTGAAGTGGTTCTCTCTGTGGCAGGAGGAGGAGCGGTAGCCCGGGGGCCGGAGGTCATTAGGAGGAAACAACAGCTGAGCGTAAGCGAGGAATAAAACCAGGAGATTGGTAAACACAATTTGAAAGAAGTTCCAACAAATTTGCATTTAAAAACGGATTTTAAAGCTTGAAATTCTATAAATATTTCTGAGGGAAATCAGTTGAAAATGTGTACAAATTTGTAAGCTACATTTTATTGGTATAAATCCACTAGAACGAGTCTCCTGAAATATTCAATCAATTTTGTATACCCATAACAAAACTTTTTTTGAAAATATCCTCTAAAATTCCACATTTAATGAACATTTAGGCTACAATTATCTTATAAAAAGGAACACTGAAGAGTTTGGGACCTTCCATCTTCCACCAAAACGTTATCGAATTGATGTTTGAATCATGAAAGCCACAAAATAGCAATCTAAAAACTGTGCAAATACTCGTAATGCCGCATCTAACGCAGGCCAAACGCCATTTTGATTGAATTTTTATACACATATACTCGATTCTCTCTATGTATACTACAAAGGACCATAAGGACACATTTGCCAGGCAGCCAGCCAGATAGCGAAGCTTTTTTTCGTCGTCCTGTGTGCGAAAAGCTTCAACTGTATATTGCTCTCGCTTTGGCCGCAGCTGCTGTGCGGAAAGGAGATGTGTATAAGGATGGGAGGAACAGGGAGTGGGAAGGGGACTGTTGCGCATGTCCTGTGCCACAAG